TCACTCCAGCATCCCCTTAAGGCCTGTGTCCACGATGCTAGGACTTGGTCCAAGTTCTAGTTCAATCAACTCGCAGCTCTTATGGAATATGCTGCGAGTTGATTGGCACCACATTTCTCGAAACTACAACTTGGACCAAGTTCCAGTATCGTGGACGCAGGCCTATACTGCGAGGGTGGGTCAAAAATTATCTTCAATGCAGCTGTAAACTTGACGTAAGTAGAACCAGAGCACTTGCGACAGTATTATTTCTCAACATAGTCTCCTTGCCTTTCAATACACTCGTTTGATCGTTGCTGAAGCTTCTGTATGCTGTCAGAAAAGAAAACGGCGCCGAATGTGGTATATATTTTTTAATTTCATCTACAGCCAACGATTCAGGTTGCAATTCCGGTAGAGCTCAGTGTCTCGATGAGAGAAAGACATTTATCGAGCATGTTGAAACTTGGGACTCGCTGCTCGAATTTGCACTCGTGCGTCAAACGCGCGAGATCAGATCACCTGATTTAACTCGTGCAACCCCGAATTTGGGAGTCGATACGGTTGTCCTTCGGCGCCAATCTCATGCGTCGCCGGCGCCGTCGCGGTTTCGCGAATTCGCAAATTACGCGCCGGGTATATAATTCGGTGCGAATTTACGGTCGCCGCGTATCGAGCTATTCTGGGTGTACGCGAGCGGCCGCCCGAACACGAGGCGAAAATGGAGGCACGAACGTACGGGAATTAACGATGTACGGCGTGTGTGCCCTCAGCGAAACGCAAATAGCAATGCGAGCGCAACGGCGCGGCGGGCCTGACGAGATTCGCTCGACCTGCGAACGTGTCAAACCCGCTCGGGCGATCCACGTGTGCTTGTCCGTCGACACACGTGCGCCGGTATACAATCAACGAGATTGCAACTAGGGATGCGCGGAATTTAATAGGATATTGATACTTTTATTTGTACGACGTTGAACGTGGCCGCACAAGAGCGTCCGGCGCCGCTCCGCACGTGAAAAATGCTCGATATTATCGATGCTTGACACCGAGCGTTGCAGCCTGTGACAATCGAAGGGGCCCACGTTTTTGCAACAACAAATTAAATTCGATGCGAATAATTGATATCTGTCGTGAAAGTGGACGGCGAGAGGGGCAATTTTTTAATTGTGTACGTAACCTTATCGAATCGAGATTTCATATAAAGCTGTTTACGTTGGATATACATACACCCTTAGGGGGGTGGAGTCGTTCTGTTTTACCGACATTTTTTATGTAAGGATATCTTTTAATTGGCTTTACAGAATTGCAACTTCTTGTACACGATTAAAGTTCGCACAAAAATGAAAGTCAGCCTACTCGACTTTATATCAAAAACGAAAAGAAAACTAAATATTCCATTAATTTTTGGCATGTAGAACTGTCACATGACGATATCTGCTTACAACAAAAATTCTATAGTTTATATCTGCAAAATGAGACCGGAGTGACCTAGAGACAACATGCAAGAACAATATTGTGTAATTGGAACTAAGATTAAAAGTCTAGAAAAAAAGATAGGTTTAGATAAAAGTTTATGAATGCAAATACAGCTGTAGAATGATAAGTAGAGCAGTATTGCGTGTAGTAATAGATGCCGGATTTTGTGTATTGGCATCTATTCGATCTATAAGCGGTAATGTTAATCAAGAATTATATTCAACTCCAATATATTGAAAAGTTTACTAAGATTTGTCACAAGTTAAAGATCAAAATTCCGCTCGATAATAGAAAACTCGACACACCGAAAAAGAAATAATGAGATTTTGAATACATCGAAATACATCGCGAGAGAAGGAAATAAAAGAAGAAATTATCGGTTGTTTTTCCAGTTATCTACAGTCCTTTATATCGCGATAAGCATAATTGTACGTTTTATATAAATTGCTACGATCCATCAATGTAATTATAGCTCGAATCGTTTTCGCGCTTGACGGAAAGTTCGCGTCATCCAATAAATATGCAACGACTAATATAGCGAAACGGTAATTAATGGATAATCTCCGATGTTTCCTTCGGGATATCATCCATCACGGTGCTCCCGCGAGGGTAATCGTACCGGTTGTAATATCAACATCGTGGAAAGCGTGTGTGCTGCGTCGCGAGATTTGACAGGAATAGACGCGAAAATAAGAGAAGCTCCTCTCTGATTTCCCTGCACGGTCAAAGAGTTTCCTTCAAAGGATATTTATGTATATTGATACAAGATCGCGCGCCGGGAATCTCAACTATTCACACAATGCTTATGCACGCAAACGGCTTCACAAAGGCATACATATAAATTGTCCTATCTGTCATTCGGATAGACAAGCTCGGACTATAATGATCTCTTTCTCGGGGAAATAGACATTTTCGCGAGTTATCCGAGCGATAAGGGAAAACGTCGTTTGAGCGCGCGCGCGTCGCAGAAAGATACGATGCAAAATGGTATCTCACCGCTCATAGAAACATAATGCCACAATTAGCTGCGCGTTAACGTACGCTTCGAGGGGCGCTCTAGCCGAACGGGGACTTGGTCGTCGTCTACTTTGTCATTATAGAATGAGAACTTTGGAAATGCGCCCGCGTGGATAATTCGACGACGCGACTGCACAGTCCCTTATCCCTGGTCTCTCTTTCTCCCGATTTCTCTTACAATTCTAACAATGCGGACGAAACCGCAGCTTCTAAATTTGATTCTCGTAATTGGAAAATTTGCCTAATCATATTAGACAAGTAGGTAAAGTGCGTAACCACACGCAATCTACAAATCGGCAGAGGAGTCGAAAAATATGAGAGAACAGGTACTAGATACGAGTATAAGAATATCAGAGAATATGAGATAGCAGGTTTTCAACAAGAAAATTCAATTACAAATCATTTTGCATCGATTACACGATCTAATGAATTTTTCACTAAACAGATTTCACTTCAAGGGCAATAAATTTCTGGTGATGCCTGTTAATTTAACAGAAACCTCGCTACCCCATATTAGGATCCTGTCTCATAATAGAGAATTTTCCTCTATATCTTTTGAAATTAAGCTTCTCTTCTGTAAGAAGATTTTTCCTCTTTGCACAGTTCTTCCTTCTTTTCCCCCCTCGCTCTTTCTCTACAGTGCAACGTATCTTATAAAGCGTTACAGAACATTTCTCCAGAATATACTCCTAAAAGTGTAGAACGATAAAATGCAATGTAACGTTTTTATTTTAACTTTTGCTAAAATATATTCAGTTATACCAGGATATGTGCGCGTTCTCTGGGATATTTGGTGCAATCAATATACAATTATCCCGCAATATCCGCGCGTACAAGATCCACGAATCACGGGTCTAGATGCGCCGCTAATTGATTAACGCTGACAGTGTAGCCGGCCAGCCGCTAATAATCGCGATGCCGCATGAACTTCAACCTCGATAAGAAGCGACTTCCTCGATCGATGTGCCCGCCGCGGCGGTTAATTAATGTTCTCGGGTATTTGCGCCGTGAGACAGGGCCAGGTCGATAAATTTAGGAGGGCGTGGAGACTAGTTTGCGTGTAACATAAGATAATTGCCGGTACACGAGGATCTATTTTTAAGTTATTGAGCGTTTCTTCGCCAACAAAAATGTATCGTTGCTTGAATTTAAATGACCGTGAACTGTGGTGAAAAATTTATGTGCACAATAAATCAATCTTGTAAATTTATAATATGTAGAAATCTCTTACAAATTACCGTCATTTCGTGCACTAAAATCATGTAATTAAAATGTAGGACGTTTACTTTTATTTTCACGTACATATGCACGTACAATATAATTCTTAACAATATTTAACGTCATACAACAGTGATCTCTAATTAAAGCACAGGTTTTAATTAAAGTTTCGAAACTAATATTGCTATTAATTAATGGCACTCGGTTTTCAGCGAAAGAAGAGAGTAGTCGAATAACATTTGAGACTTATTCCCTGAATTTTTCTACTTATATTTCCTCCAGCTGTCGCACAAGGATAGATTGGGGCGGCAGACTTTCGTCTCATGTTTAACTTATTATAAGATCAATAACTCCAACTTTGCGAGCTGGAGTTGTCTCGCTTAATTTTCCCGCCTTCATTTAACAAATGTTGCGCGTATGTATCGGACCTATTCGTGAGTTTGCAAGTTCTGAGGCGGCGGAACAAGGTACTTTAAACTGATTGCGAGTGATGTGCTGGTGTATCATGGCTAACATGACGTAGCAATCAACTTGCCGTGGTGCCTTGGGTTTTGATGTAACTATAGCGCAGTGTTCACCATGCATTTATGAATACGCTTACATTCGGTCTGGCAAATGTTTCTTGCGGTAGCACTGACGTCGTATCCCATTAGAATTGGGAAAGGCGATTGCGTCAGTCTCGTGATAAACTGAAACGCGCAAATTAATTTTTAACAACAACTTTGCGCCGAAAAGCCATTTATGAAATTGCTCTCTTTGGAGAAAACCGAGTATTTTCGGCCATCCGTGAAATAGTCGGCCGCGTGTCCCCTTTCCGTCTATTAAAACAAAATTCATTCTTCGTTTCAGATCCGTTCGGTGTCCAATCCTCGTACGAAGACAGTTCACCACTCGGTAAGTCCATCAACCAAACAATTAGATGGATTTCCTTCCGTTTTACATGTCGCCAACGTGGCATTTCGAAAAACTGTACGAGAATTTTTCAACTTTTACCATACATTCTACTAGTAAAATGTAGACTAACAAGGGAACGGTCGGAAGTGTCCCTCACCGATTTCGATGCGCTTCGGATATGTTGTAGAGCATAAAAAAATATTAGACCCGTATTTTTTTAGCGGCTCTTCTTGACGTTTAGGGGGTGAAACAGCCCCTCGAAAATAACGGATTTTTCCCAGTTTTTACGAATGTCTTCGAAACTATAAGGTTTATGAAAAAATGTTTTAGACAAAAGTTAATGCTCTTAAACTTCTTTCGCCGGACAGTGTACTCGCCGGATACCAGATAATTCAACACTTATTGGTAACCAGATAACCGGATATTATCCGGCTATTGCACAAAGAAATTAACAAGTAAATTTAACTTTATGTTTTACAATAAAGAAAGGATTATAATCCAAGTTATATTATGTACATTTTACTATTTCGCACATAAGTGAGTATTTTATATTAATAATATTGATAAATCATTTGAATTACTTAATTTTCATGCACGCGTTGCCATGTTATAGCATGCATTTCCATTCTGCTAATCGGATGCGTGCTTTTATAACACGCGCGAATTAACAAATAAATAATTACAATCTGAACGGATTGTAAAAAAAGTAGCCGGATAGGCCGGACACCGGGTAGTTGCCGGATATCCGGCACGTCCCTACTTTCTAAATATTCTAAATATTATTGTAATTTTATTTTAGTATACAGGGTGGGCCATTTTAATTTATACAGTCGATTTTTTAAAAAACTAAAAGAGATATGAAAAAATGTTTCAGACAAAAGTTGTATGGTTTCGAGGGGGACATAAGATGGTACCATAGGTTTGACCTTGAAGAGTAATTTGAAGGTCACATGAAGGTTACCTTCAATTTCTTAAATGGAACCTACTATTTCTCGTTACACATTCTTGTAGGTTATCTCGAGAGCTTTCCAAAACACTATAATAAAGTATTTTTTTGTTAAGAACTTTTTGAGTTATTAAGGTTTGAAAGTTTCAA